TCCCTGTCTCATGGGAAGTGCCACATCATAGAGCTGCTGCTTTCATCCTCAGCATTAGCACTGTTCACAGGGTCTCATAGAATGTTCATGGGGCCATTACAGATGCTCATCATTTTATCATTTTTCTGGTGGTTAGCAATGTCTGCAACATCTAAAATAGTCAGTGCTGTTTGAACACATACTTAGATTACAGTAACATAATGGGAAGAGAATTACTAATTTAACAATACTCTTAAGATACGTTTTATTATCAAGGAGGAAAGGGTTATAGTTTTTGAATTAAGAAAATCACCAAGAAGTTATTAAAGTTTATTTTAAGAATTTTTCTATTGTGACTGAAACAATGGAATATTCTTTAAATGTCATCCAAATTTGTGTTTAATACCTTAGAAATATTCCAAAACCTTGCATTGTAGCAACAAAGAACTACTCCAGACTGACAACTAGGCTATGATTTATTACAGGATCTGCTTTTAACATTATTTTGTCTGGAATGAACAGAGTGGTTGAAGAAAGTCCATCCATCTTTTTGTTTATTTGACATCTATGCCACATTAAATATACCTTAAAGAAACAATATATAAATAAGAAACTCTACTAAACAGTGATGATTACTCACTAGGAAGACAAATCTCTGGACAATAATGCAAAAGAGAATCCTGTCAAGCAATGTCTGTTAAATTCAAATGAAGCATTTTTTTAAACCTAAATGAATATTTGAAGCAAATATTTTAGTTTCAGTGTCTTTCCAAAAGTTAGTATTAGAATGTGTTCTATTGTTCTTTCTCTTCAGCAAAATTAACACTATCTCCCAAGCTTCTGGCTCTTCTGGCTCAATTACTGATGATATTTGATATGAGAAACTAGTAGAAATACAGTGTGCCCTCTTCACTGTTAATGTTTTTCAGAAAGGTGAAAAAACATTGAGAGGCAAGTAGGTAACGATTTTGACAAATACATCTTGTTGTCAAAATACATCTTTCATGCTGTTGGAAGGAGTCTTCTTTTTTTTAAGTTATTTTGAGGAAGGAGGGAGGAAATAGAGTATTTGCAGCAGGAAGAATACCTTGACAGCATTATGCATTATTTTCTGAGAACGTTAGGACCTGAACAGAAGTGTCTGCCCAGGGATTTAGAGCCACATGGTAGTTTGAATGAGACATCATGCATTACCAACAAATGGTCTCTGTTGGTGGTGCTTTCTTTTGTTTGTTAATTCTCACCTGAGGATATTTCTCCATTGATTGTTAGAAACAGTGGAGGAGAGGGAGGGAGGGGGATTGAGAGAAACGTCAATGTGAGAGAGACACATCGATTGGTTACCTCACCAGGGATTGAACCTGCAACCCAGGTACAAGCCCTTGACCAGAATCAAACTCACCACCCTTCAGTCTGCGGGCCAACATTCCAACAGCTAAGCCAAACTGACCAGGGCTCTATTGGTGTTTCTTATCTGAATGTCTTATGTATTAGGTTTAATTTCAGATTTATTTATTGGAAATTTGCAGGATATTTTTTATTTAGTGTCACAATTGTTAAATACAGATTTTGGAAGGATAGGAGAATTCTGCTTCCTTTTACTGTACTTTTTAATATTAAAAAGAATATACTTTTTAATATTAAAATGTTACCAATATGCTACTTGCTAGTCTGTTAATGTTTTCAATAATAAAACCAAGATACCGTCCTCCTCCATAAATTAGTGGTTAGCTTTATGAATGTATTTGACCTGCATACTTAACATTTAGTAAACTTTTAGATGCTACATAAACTATAGTATTGTCAGAATTCTAATTCTGAATTCTTATTGCTCATGAATAAAGATCAAGATTGATTCAGTTGATGGTTGTGGATCACAGAGATTTCTTGGTATATTAATCCTAGCAGTTGCTGGCTTTTTAGCTATATGACAAATAGTACTGGAACACTTTTTCTAGGCTTTACAAAGTATAGCGGTAGATGGTGCTTGTCTTAATGTTCCACATCGGCTGTGTGTCCAGTTTCACACGAAAGGAGCATGATGAGGAAGGCTGTAAACTGGTTACAGTCAGCAGCTGAGTGTCCACAGAAGGGACAGAATTCCCAGGCTGGTCACTGCTTTAAAGAGGATGGGGATGGGGATGGGGAGTAAAGAGCTTTGCTACTAGAATGCTTAAAAAAGACAGTTTGTATGCTGATTCTTTATTGTACAAGGGGAAACTATTATATTTGTGAAAGTTTGCTACTTTTAATCTGGCTTTATCCATTTAAGATGATAGATAATGTGAATGAAATTATATGGTTGAAAGGTAATGTTTAGAAATTGGAATAACATTCTCAGCATATGTAACAACTGAAACTCATAGACAGATTCTAAGTGGCCCAAACATGCAAAATAATTTCTGAACCAAGATTTTAACTAGGTTTGTTCATTTTTATCCAGTATTGTTTTAAAGTAGATTTTGCCATGTCTGCTAACACTAAGTCCACTAGAATACATACTTAATACTATTGGAGTAGAATATGAATAAGTTTTCTTTCTCTGTCTTGTCCATATTCTTATTTCACTTGTGTGAAAACTAAGATCCAGTGACTTGCCCAAGACTATGTGACTACTTAAGGACATGTTTTAACATTATCAGGTCAACCACACATATTAGTGAGCATTAATCTAGCTAGTATTTGAGTCATTTTTTGAAGTATATGCTTTCAAACAGTTGGATATTGGGATATCTGTTCCTTTTAAAAGGCATTAAATAATGGATTAAATGTTGATACAGTTTTTAAAGACCAGGAACCATCCTTTAACTCCTTTTAAATTATAGTTGGCATACAGTATTATATTACTTTCAGGTGTACAACATAGTGATTCAGCATTGGTTTGTGTATTGAATAGGTCAGTGTAGCATTTGAACCTAGTACATGGGTAATCGTGTGAAAGTCAGGCTATCTAGAAAAGTAGCTGTATGCTTATAGGAGTATGCTAGTTTTTGCATTAATAAGTTGTGTGTGTTAATAATTCATGATGGCACAGAATCACTCTGTTCTTCTGTTGTATATTAACATATTTATCTTTTTATAGTGATATAATATTTAGTGATGGTGGAATTAGTAAAAGTATCACATATGGGGGTATATATTTATATGCATACTCACACATACATATTTTAAAGTGGGAAATTGTTGGAAAGAAAGCAAGTAAATAGGGCTGTCTCCAGTTAGGTAGGCCAAGAATTTCCAGCTGTAATTAAATCCTAGTATGCAGAGTAATTTTTTCCTCTTGTATGAGTATCTATTCAGAATGATTACTCAGTGGTAAGGGACACTACCAGATCACCTGTTTGTCCTGTGTTCACCTCCAACACTTATCCTAATGACTACACAACCCAAACAGACTCCCTATTCGTTGCTTAGATTTTAGCTTAAGCACATCTCCTTTCTGATTGCATTCCTTGTCCATTTCAGATTAGGATGAGTCCATCCTGGTCTGCAGGCCCCTGTTCTTCTCTTCATTTTGTATACCTATTCAAGTTTATTTCATCAACTTTTTAGCTTTAGGGGCTAACAGCTCACAAACTGGTGTTCTTAAATCAGTTCATTCCTCTCAAGTTCTGACCTCCCTGAGGAATTCTCAAGAGTTTGTCAACAGTTTTATCACCTTCAAAGGGATAAAAAAAAAAAAAAAGTGTTTTTGGTGAGCAAAAAATATCTTACTGTTGTTATGTCTAAAACATGGATATGCATATATTACATAAACATAGACAGTGTACCTGGGCTTTAAAAATTCCATGAGTGCAAACGATTAGGGGGAAATTTTTCTTAAAAAGCAGTTTAGCTGGTAGTAATGAAAAAAGGTTGAGAACCACTGTTCTACACCTATATAAATCCACGTGCTTTTTGGACATTTCCACTTAGATGTACTTAAAACTTCAAACTCAACTTGTTCATAACCAAAGCGATTTTTTTTTTCATTGCCCACCCCACCCAAATCTGTCCTCATCCTTTCTGTCTTGTCTCAGTTAATGGCACCTGGGTTTCAGGTCCACTCTGTCCCATTATCTCTATTCCCAAAGCATTATCTCAGCTCAGGCTGTCATTTTCCCTGCCTGGATTATTGCCACAGCTCTTTAAATTACTCTTTCTGCTTCTGTTATTACCCTCACTCCAATCTTTTCTCCACACTACCCTGCAGGGAGCTTTCTAAAATGTACATCTGGTCATCTCTCCTCTGTTTAAAAACTCCAGATTCTTAGGGATCAAAATCCTATTTCCATTGCATGACCTACCTTTCTTCTTATTTTCTTTATTTTTCTGTCTTTCCAGATTTATATCTTTTTGTTCTACCTTTTTGCACTCCCTGACACACACTTATATTTTGGAGTCATTCAGTCTCCTCAGATGTGCCATTTTCTTCCTCGTCTATGGCCTTTTGCAAAAGCTGCTCTTCTGCACATGATCTTGAGCCTTTGACTTTTTCTTCCCTTCCTTAACCCCATACAACTTCCTCTTACCAGTGTTCGATTTAGATACCATGTCCTCCTAAATGTACTTTGTGATTAGTTTTACTGTACTATTTGTCACACCAGGGTAAGGACATATTTTCTGTCCCCCCCCTCCCCCCACTAAGCAGCTGTTGAGGAATGACTGCCGACTGCTGTATCTCCAACCCTGTAGTCTCTAGCACTCACCAAATGGAAACATGATCAAACGTAGCAGTTGTAGGTGCCACTATTTTGTTGACTTCTCTAGGTACTTACCATATATTTTTTCCCCCATAAAATGTCACATAACTAGATTGGATTATACTTATTCCTTCTTTTCAATTAATTTTAATGGCTTTGACCTAACAACAATATGTAAAGAGTAGTTTTTCAACTATTTCAATATTTGCTTTTCAAAAATAGAATTAACTAATTTTACATCTCTTTTATTCTGATCTACAAAATACAGTATTAACATTATTTAAATAGGCAGATTATCAAAATATGTTTGATTGCTTTTCTCCCTCTCATCCTATTTAGCTAAAAGACACAAAATCAGCAGATCAGAAAACAACACTGCTTCATTTTCTGGTGGGAATATGTGAAGAAAAGTACCCCGATATCCTGAAATTTGTGGACGATTTGGAACATTTGGACAAAGCGAGCAAAGGTTTGTGCTTTTATAGAAAATATTTCACTCCTCTGGGTCTTCATTTCTTAAAGACAGAAAGTAATCAGTGCCTTTTATTGGAGTATGCTTGACACTTTGTCACAGTGTTTTCATACTGGATACGTCACTTTAAAAATAGGAGTCGCACGGAACATTTGTTTTATGAATTGTCATTATTTTTGTTGAGTTTAATTTGATTAGAACATGAGGCCCTATATTCCAAAAAATCAGATGTTTTGTAGTTTAAACCTTTTGAATGAATACCTGCCAGCGCCACCTCAGCTGCGAAGTCTGCCGCACTGGTGGCCAGCGTCATGCTCCCTCATTCAGTGTCATTCACAAGCACCGGGTGTACTATGTGTCTGAGCCAGGCAGTCATAGGCAGTATTCCCTATTAATGAGAGTCCTAAATATGTATCCACCCACCTTGTGGGCGGAGCCAGCTTTCTCCCACCCAGTGACACCAAACTTCCCGAGACTCAGTTCACTCCTCCCTCTGCTCACATTGATAACCTGCTTCTAGCCCGACTGTGGATTTAGATCATTACAAAGGGTCATAGAAAAGATAGGACCATTATTAGGACTTGGTTATAATATGATCAAATGTAAATTTTTGACCATCTAAAGAACCCAATTTTTATTTGCCTATCACGTTGATCCTATGGGGGGCAAAACTTTCATTGGCTCCCAACAGCCAATTTATGAATGTACATTTGTATGAATATACACAAATGTATGATATATATTTTGAAAGACAACTCACTTGAAATGGTGGATTATCTGTACTTTTTTTGTGTGTTGAACACTGGTCATTAGTAATGTATGATATATATTTTGAAAGACAACTCACTTGAAATGGTGGATTATCTGTACTTTTTTTGTGTGTTGAACACTGGTCATTAGTAGTCTGTTTATTTCTTTCTTAAAATTCAAACTTGTCAACCTAAGAAGGATATGTATTTTTTTCATATCATACTGAATATTCCTTCTTAAATTAAAAAAAAAAAAATCACTTTTATCATTCCCTACCTTTAAATTGTTTTTTCTTCTATAAAAAGGGTATTGTAGCCCATTATCTGCAGAATGGCGTGTGATTACTTGAGATGGTCTTGAACACATTTTCCTGAGATGTATGTTTCCTTGAAGTATGTATCTTATACAACCTGGTTGCGGGGAGGGGGAAATACTGGTCTGGATTTTTAAGACCAAACTAAACTTTTAGCTTTACCCTTCACTCCTGCCTCCCATGCTCTAATGATATGAATTACTTCCTTTGCTCTTACTTTACCTTAAAATGTTCTTGGTAGAAGAAGATATTGTGTATGTGTGTGAAATTTAAAAATGAAAATATTAAACAGTGGGAGATAGGGCCAAAAGGCATAGAGAATAAAACATTAAATATAACTCAGGGATACTCAAGTAGTTTTTAAGTGGTTCTTTACCTTAGGGAAGGTAGCTTTTCTAAAATGAGATTTTTGAAATTTGGAGTAAAATCTGAATAAATGGGATGAAAAAGAATTGAAAATGGGTGTTCTTGATGAACATTAAACTTGAGTGGTGAATGAAAAAGTGGTGCAAAGTGCCTTGAAATATAGAGTAGATTTTTTTTTCTAGCAAAAAAGGTAGTTGAGTAGTTAATAGCTTGTGCCCATATTAAGTATTTAGCAAGAATTAAAATAGTACAAACATTTTCTGCTAATAGCATTTTGTATTTCTGATCACTTCACCATCTTTCCAACTGTTCTGAAACTGAACAGTAAGCCTGAACATACTTATTTTTCAGTTGCATTTCTTATCATGGAATTTGTATTCTAGCAGTTTTTGCCTTTAAATCAAGTTTTTGAAATATAATTTATCTATCATGACTCATTTGATTGTACTTAAAATTCTGTACAAATATTATGATTTTTTTTTTTGCTTTTGAAATATATTTAACTTTCATAAGGGCTTGCAGAGTTGTAACTTGGTAATTAGATTCTCCTGTTTGTTTTCTTTCCTGGTGTTTCTATGGGGCAGTCGGGACCTGGGGGGGTTTAGTTTCCATCTGTTATAGTAGAGAAATGCATATGCAGATGGGTCAGCAGATACCCTTAATGTGTTTCACAGGGAGCAGCCAGCTCCATATTTGAAATGGAATAGCCATCACTGAGATAATTTTTTATAGTGTCAGTGATTGTTGAGCCTAATTTCTTTTTATGCTTGTATTACCCTATTAATGAACAATTTTTAGAGGAATAAATGTGATGTTTTGGATGAAATAAGTCAGTTTGCTTTGGAGAATTTCAATGCTCTTTTATTGTATATCATTATTTAAAAATTTCCAGATTTGAAAACTCAGTGAGCTATCACATGAATTATAAAAAGTACCTTTGTTTTTGAGATATAACAAATCTTGGCCATTAGGTACTCCTGGATCAGCAGGGGGAACTTTCGTTGCAACTAATGAGCTTACCCGTATGACAATTTTCAAAAATCTACTTCATTAGGGCTGCTTCTTTTGTAAGAGATAATAGCTTACAGCTTATGTGTTGTGTTTCTGTGAAAGGGTTTCGGGTCACGATTTATTTCTGTATACCATTGTGATAGTTCTTTCCTTTCCAGACTTCTCGGGGTTGAGTACATTTTCCCGTGTCTAAACAGGTGAAATTAATGAACTCTAATCTACGAAGGTTTTATGGATTATTTCACACACCCTGTTTCATTATTACATTGGAATGGTATATTATTAATGAGTAGAGAATATGACAAAACTGTGGGGTTTCTTAGCATGTATTAAAATGAAACAAAGGTAAGTTTACAGTGTGACCTTGTTCAGCTCTTTTTCAGGGTTATAGCTCTAGCATATATTTCCATTATTCCCTAGATAGTCAACTCTGAATTCTAGAAATGCCATGCTAGTTCACTCTGTAACTTATTCACTTATTCATTTAACAAGTATCATATGATCTCACGTATTTGTGGAATGTAATGAACATAATAGTCTGAGGAACAGGGTAGACCCAGAGATGTGGAAGTGGGGTACAGACTGACAACCCTCAGAACAGGGGGTGGGAGGTGAGGGAAGAGATAAACCACAGAACTTATATGCATGTACGCATAATCGATGGACATGGACAACAAAGCTGGGGACAGGGTGGGGAGGATGGGAAGGAGGGTGTCAATGGGGATAAAAGGAGAAACATCTGTAACAAAAATAAATTAATTAAAAAAAAAAAACAAGCATAGTTGTATGATTAGTCTGTGCCAGAAACTGTGCTCCTGTCTTGCTACTGACCTAAGGTATAGTTTCTGTGTCTTCATGCAGCTCAAGCTCCCTCCCTCATATCTGGTGTCTGCCTCAGCTGGCTCCTCCTCTTGCAGTCAGTATCCCTGACCTCCTCTCCTTTCACGCAGCCTCTCTCTCCGTGTTGCTGTTATCATTTGCCTAATGCTGAGCCCTTCTCTTTTTTCTCCCTATAGCTTCTCCTCGGGTGATCTCTTTAGTTCCCAAGGGCTTAAATACCTTCATAAAGTAAATGTCTTACAAATTTATATCCAACACTTTCCTTCTAAGCCTCGCAATTGCATATCCAACAGCTTACTTGCCATCTCCAGCCACATCCCACTTTGTAAATCACAATGTGCAGTAGAAGATGGCTCTTGATTCTTACACCCTTAACCTCTCCTTCCCAGGATTTAATGACATGAGAAAATCCTACTTACCTTCATGACATAATAGTTCCCCCTTCGATTCCTCTTTCTCATCTGCCCTTCTTTTTAGAGCCTTTCAGCATCTCAGCTGAGAGCTGTGTGGTAGTTTCTAAGGTAAATCTATGGGAAGCAGCAGCTGTGGCCTCGAATGTTGTCTAGTTCTGTCCTTCATCAGGTGACAGAGTAAATGTCACCTTTTCTTTAGTGCTTTTTCTGGGTCCTTACTGGGAAACTCACCAAAGTTTCTATGTATTTTGCCCTTAAGGATAAATTTAGAGGTTTCCCAGAAAATACTAGACCACTATTTAAGAACTCCTACTGTATACTAGAGACCATTCCAGGAACTTCTGGGAATGTAATTAACCTCTAGACAAAGGACAGTGTTCGATGTATTATCAGACTGGATTTAATGCTCGTCCGTTTTTATTTTTGTTTTTTTCTGTTTCCACATTTTTAGCTTTCAGGAGTATTCTTTGATATATATACAATTTTTTTCTCTCTCCATTTTTTACTCTCTGCTTTTAAGGCTTTATTTGTTTGCTTTTAGCTAGTAATTTCTTGGTCTGACCCAAATATTTGTCTACTCAAATACATCTCCCAGTTTCCAATTCCTTGTGACTTTCCAACATTTTATGATAAATGCCTCACTAAATACCAAATGTTTACCTTTTATTCACCTACTGTGAACACTTAGAACACTTAATTTCCAGGTGGCTGCCACCTGGAAACTGCATAGTGTTTGAAAATTCCAAATTCATCTGCTGTAACAAGCAGAAAGCATTTCAAAGGCTTCCATTAACCTGCTTATGCGACAGACTTCCAAAAATCCCAATTAAAATTTGTTAGTTTGATATACATATTTTGAATACTCAGTATTATTAATTCAATTGCATTTTATATTTTAAATATATATTGTCAATGCACTAAAATATTTATTGTACAACAAATTAACACATAAGTAATGTTGTCTTAGTGGAACTGTTATGTCATGAAGGTTATAGGTTAGGGCCTCATAATTTTGTGAGGCAATTCATTTCATGTTTCATATCACTTGTAGGATATTGAAGTTTTTGAAAATATATATTAGTGTAGGTCTCTTCCATTATAGTAAAATAATTTGATAGGATACATTGTTGCTGGTAGGAGGCATTTATATTAAAATAGTTTTGTTAGAGAAGACAACCATGTAGGATATTGCTTTAATTGAATTGTCAGTGAAGAGCAAAAACATATATGATGTCTTGGACTGAATTCTGTTCCAAAACATTGAATTCCTAAGCCTCAGAAAATGACTATATGTGGAGATAGGG